AAGAATAAGGTAAATTACTAGTTTTGTATTTAAATTATCTACATCATAACATTAAATTTTCGAAGCATTGCATTTTTAAGGGTAAATTACCTCATTCATCACTCAACTATATTCTCACTCCTATTTTGGTACTAAAGTTTACAAATTTTCAATTAAATTACTCAACTTTCAAATTGCTCCTATTTTAATCACTCTATTTTATTTTATTAATAATTGTTGTGACATGATATTTTTTTATTATTCTATTAATATATATAATTAGAAAAATAAATTTAAAAGTTAGAGTGGTTGAATTAGGATTAATTCAAAAATTAAGTAATTAAATTTTAAAAAAGGTAAACTTTAGTTACCAAAATAAGAGTGAGAAGATAGTTGAATGCTGAATGATGCAATTTACCCATTAAAAAGGTGTCACATTAAACTACCCCTTAAGTTTTTTACGAAGAGGTACTAAAACGAAACAAAGCTAAACATTAGATATGATTTTAAAATTATTTTTGAAAGTTTAGGTACTAAAACGGATCAAAACTTATAGTTTAGGTACTAAATGTGTAGTTTACTCTAAAGAATATTCATATTTATATATTTGTACCCTAAAGGAGGAAAACAAAAGTGAAACTTGCTTTAAGAATAGTTGAAGGTTTAGTGTCAATTTGCCATCCTTTTCAAAGGGCATTATTGATGCTTACTCACTACCAAAGATGATCTAACCCCTTTTCATCTCTTGACAACAAATGTGTACATTGACACTACGATGTCCGTATTTAAGATTTTGACGCGTTTAATAATTTGTTTAAAATACAAAAATGTCCCCCAACTATAGAATATTACTTTACTAAGTACCTCGACTATTAAAATTTATAAAATGGTCATTCAATTATAGGATGTTGCTTAACTATCAAAAGTTACAAAATGGTCACTTGACCATTCATTATATTCCAAACTTGTATTTTCCGTTAAAAAATTGGTCATTGTATAAGCTAGATGTTAATATGATGATTGAGATATGACAATCATTTGAGATTCTAGGATCATACTCTATCATATCACAATCAGCAAGTTAACGTTCAATTCAGAATACTATCAATTTTCAACAGGAAATGGCGAGTTTGAAACCTAATGAATAGTCGGGTGATCATTTTATAATTTTTAATAGTCGAGGGACTTAATAAACCAATACCCTATAGTCAAGGGATCATTTGTGTATTTTACCCTAATAATCTTTTGTTAAATTTATAATAAAATATGAATATTTGAACCGTCAAGTATGTTTTCCGATTAAAAAATAGGGTAAACTACGTGTTTAGTACATGAACATTAGTTTTGGTTCTTTTTAGTACATAAACTTTTAATTTTTCAAAATCATATCTAAAGTTTAGTTTTTATTTCATTTTAATACTCATGTTCAAAATTTAACGTTAAGTTTTTTTAAAAAAGTAAAAGTTTAGGTTCTAAAATGAACTAAAATTGATAGTTTAGGTACTAAACGCATTAAGTTTTTAACAACATGATACTAAAATGAAATAAAAACTAAACATTAGGTATGGTTTTTAAAAAATTAAAAGTTTAGATACTAAAAATTATCAAAACGAATATTTTAGGTACTAAATGCGTAGTTTACCCAAAAAATATTATCTTCCCTAAAAATGGGGTTTACCCCATGGTTTAGACGTGCGTCGAACTGCCCATTGCCCTAGTTCTATTCCTTCCGTCTGCAATTTTAAACTTGTTGCTTTTGGTGCCATGTGTCACCACCTGATTGGTGAATGTATTATTTAATTAAAATATTAAAATAAAATAAAATATTGAAATAAATTAAAAAAACATTTAATCAAGTAGTGATATGTGGCAACTTCTGACTCAAGGTTTTTTTTTAATTAAACTAAAAATTAGGACTAAATCGATATAATATATACGTAATAGAGACTAAATGTAGAATTATACTAATTTTACTAATTGCCATGTCAACACTTTTGTTAACTATTAACGATAATTGGCTTAATTAAATACGTTTAAATAGTTGAATGTTATAATTAATCAGAATTGAAAAAAACAATGTTCAAAATAAAAAAAAAGCTATAAAAATTTATTGGGTTTGGAAAAATGTAGGTGAGGGTGCAAGCATATGGTGGATGTAATGGGATACTTTTGGGGTTCATAATTCACACTTTCAAAACCCAACCACCACCAACCATAAGCGTAGCTTTTGCCTACAAAATCCGGAGAAAAAAAATACAAGGAAAATTTGGGACATGGGGCGGCCCCGACCGTATTGTATTATCGTCTTGTAGTGAAAAAGCCAGCAGGTTGGCAGTTTCACCCACTTTAAAGGTTCTTCAGCAAGCTCATCAAAATTAACAACTTGTATTTTTATATCTATTTAATTATTTACACTATACGTATATATATATCACTTATAATGATGTAATTATTACATGTTACGTCAAACACATATGTTAACGATATGTGTTGACCGTTAATCAACTAATAAACTTTTTTCAACATAAGGTATTTTGAAAAAAAATTAAAACATTGAGGACTAAAATATTTTAAAAAAAATAGAAATCAAAATGATCATCTGTATAAATATCGGGGTAATTCTATCACTATGCCTATTCTTTTAAGTTGGTTAAAGTTTATAATTCACATTTTGTTATAATTTAATTTTTTTTAAAAAAATAGGATACAAGTTATTAGGGTAAAAAAATAAGATTTATGATGACGAAGAAATTATTGGACTACCCAAATTTCCAACGAATTCTTAAATTTGGGTAAATACAAAGCCATTCATCACTTTCCTTGGCATGGAAAGGTTTATGATTGATTCGATGTGGATTTAGAAAATTTTTATGAGATTTGAAATTTGATTTGATGTTTTAGATAAAATATATATTAATTTGATTTGACCCAACACACGCTTATATAATTTTCGTTTTTATTAAATAAAGTATGGACCTACTTAAAAACATATAAAGAAATATATATTATTATCGTTAATCCTTGAATAATTAAAAATAATTATATTATTATAATTATCTTTAAATATTTAGAAAAATAATTATATATATTTTATGAATGAATTCCATTATCCAATGAAAGCATAGATCTGCTACAACTAAACAGCAAAACAAAGGATAATACCTAGTCAACAATCCGTACAACAAAGACAACCAAACAGACCAAGAATGCACTAAACCCATAACACAACCCCCACCTTTCACGAAGGTCAAGATCAAGGCTACCCCCCATTGAGACCCCCATAAGCCTCAACCGAACATTATCCCGGATTTCCTTAATCAAATCCTCACTCTCCTCCTTCGCCTCTCTTCCAAAAGCTATAAAATTACGCTCTCTCCATACCTTGTAGGTATAGACACTCCACGCTAGCCTAAACAAAATTGAAAAAGCAACATTGTCACTGCCCTTAACCAGCGCCCAGGCCAGCTCTTGCCTCCAACACCAAACTGGCCGATCCTGACGACAAAGCATCAGGACCCCATTCCACACCAACCGAGAGAACTCACAGGAAAAGAAAATATGCTCCCTCGAGTCCACCCCATTAACACATAATTAACAACTATCATCCCCCACTTCCCTCCATTTCAATAGCCGATTTTGGTTGGAAACCGATCTAGAATCGCAAACTAAACAAACATCGCATACCTGGGAATATGCAGAGGAAACCAGACTAGCTTTGCCCAAACAACTCTCGCATACTTCACCCGAGTCACACTCCAAACTTCGTTAGCCTTCCCATATCCTATCCAGTAGCCTATGGCATCCACAAACTGGGTGACAACTTCCCTTAGCCTCAACAGCTTCTTCCAATACCAACTACAAGCAGTAGAAGACACAAACTCCATAAACGGCCTGCCCTTCATTACGTACTCATCCATCCACCTAACCCAAAGAGAGTCATCCTTAACGACCAATACACGAATGTGATGGATGATACTTGCTTTATTCCACTTACCCAGATCCTGCAATCTGAGCCCCCTCCATTTTCAATCTGCAAATTACATCCCAACTTACACGAGCCCTCTAGCAGCCTTATTAGACACCTTCCAAAAGAACCTAGAACAAATTTGAGCCATCCTGCGTATAACCCCTTTAGGAAGCCTGCACACTATAAAAAATACTTTGAAGTCAACTTGCATAAGAAAGCAACTTAGACGCCCAACCATTAATCATATCAGTCATATTCCCCAACAAGGAATCACAATCCTTCTCAAACAATCTCCTAGTAAGCAGAGGAACTCCAAGATAACGCATAGGCAAATGCCTAAGTTTAAAACCCGCAAGCTCCAACACATCAACCAATTCACATTCATTGACCCCAGAACAGTAAATCTCAGTCTTCATAAGAATTAAACATAGCCCAGACACCTTTCGAAACTCCTCCAAAACACAGTTAACCCCAACCACATAATCCACGTTGCCCCTATTAAAGATCAACAAATCATCAGCGAAACTAGGATGCGTAAGTGCCACCCTTTCACATTTAGGATGATACCTAAAAACCCCACCCTCAACAGCCACATCCAACATCCTCGAAAGAACACTAATTGCTAGCACAAACAGATAAGGAGACAACGAATCTCCTTGTCTCATCCCTTTATTCCCCGTAAAACAACCTTCCAACCATCCATTAATCCAATTGAAAACCCAGAATGAGTGATACAACCCCCAATTCAATCCAAAAACACTGGGGAAACCATACACCCTCAAAACACACTATAACGCCCCATATCTCAGGTTAGAAGAATTGGGCTAACCTGAGATAGGCTTTGAATTAAATCTCTAATAAATAAGAAACTTGACCCAAAATGAAATGGATTTGGACTTGAGATAAACTCAATAATGAGTAAACAGGATATTCTTAGTTTACAACTAAAATCACGAGGACCTATAGTGTAATTAGACCGTTGCTCAAAATAAAGCCTCAAAACCAATTAAGAATAGTGATCTCACGTTTGTTGTCCCTCCTTCCTTTTTTTTCATTATCTTATTTTTCTTCCTCTTCACTTCATCTTTTTCCTCTTCAAGCCAAGAGTAAAGGTGAAAACTTTATAGATTTCCAGTTATTGCAAGGAGAAACTAAGGTAAGAACCATCTTCCTCACACCTTCAGCCCTAATTCAAGCTATCATTTGTGAGTTTTGGTGAATGAAGAACTAAAATGGGTTTAGTGGAGGTTTCAGAAACCCTCTTAGAATGTTTCCATTTCATTTTTGGAGAGATTTAACCCTCTTAGAATGTTTTAAATTCTCCTCTAATCATTCTAAAAACGTTAGTAATTTATATGCTTGATTTTGTCTAGTGAGAGAAGTTAGGGAAAACTCTCAAGCAAGGGGAAAGAGAAGCTCACCTTGGGTTGACCTTTGGGCACCCTTAACAGCTTATAATCATCAGGTAACTCACTTCAAACTTCTCTATACCATTTATAGCTCATTTAGATAAGATTGATACGTTGCATAAGCTTGAAGCATGATCATGATGTATATTGCAAAATTTGAGTGTTTTTAGCATGTTTATAGGCTCTTTATGACCCCTAATATCACATAAAACACTTAAACATCTGTTGGGGACCTCAATGGGCCATTTGGGGTAGAAAGATAACATTTTTCATGCCAAAATAGGGTACCCAATAGCGATAGTATCGATACTATAAGATATTGTTTTTCAGTCAAGCATAAATTTAGCAGTTTTATAAGGGTAGTATCGATACTCCTACACCAAAGTATCGATATCGATACTATCTTAATCAAATTGTCCACGTCAATCAGAGGGTATCGATATCGAGGTATTTTTCAAAATATCAAACCAAAATTTGGTATCGAAACCCAGTATAACAACAAATAAGACTTCAAGCGAGAACAATAATAAATATCAGAATAGTATAAAATAGTAACAACTAGGATTACATAAAAATAACCTTATTTGAAACTCGAGAAACAATCAGGACACCCGAGCTCCTCTATAGCAAAATACGAAATTCAGTGGATATCCAAGTTAGTGCCAAGGCACTTTAGTAGCAGACTGGACGCAGATGTCCCAAGACTCGACAAAGTAAGTTGAAGGGTGTACATTTCCAATGCAATTCCGAACTTCACCCTAATACTTGAGGGTATCTTAGAATGGTTAAAAAGGTGTGTGAGCTCCGAGATGCAGAACCCTCAGGCGACCATGATGCCTACTCAGTAGTTAAATCAGTAGCTTTGCATGTTCGGACATGTGCCACCAGCTATCTCATTTAGTGAATGAATGTAGTATAGTACAGTTATTAGTGAGGCATTGAGCTCGTAAGCTCAGTGTTCGGAATGTGTTTTCGTGCGTAGGTTCTTAGGGGTAGATCGTGGGGATTTACCGTCGTCAGCCATTCCAGTGCAACAGTACAGACCAACCGAGACCATCAGAGTACGTCTTGAGTCATCTTTAAATGACATGTACTAGTTATGACCCTTACGTTTATTCAGTTGTAACTTTGATTTGTACTTGGTACGAAATTTTTAAAGTGCTCGATCGGGAACTCTTGACATTAAAGCACTTAATTCAACTGACTTTATCTTGCATTGGATTGTTGTGTTCTGGGGTATTTCTGCTTGATATTGGTTTTCCTGCTCGATTGGTTCGACCACCTCTATCTTTTGTGTAGTCGTAGATTCCGCTATATCAGGATAGCGGCGGCATGTTAAGCTGCTAATCAAAATGAAGATGGCTATATATAATGACTGTTTCTGTCTGCTACTTTTATGGAGTGTTTTTGATGTTCATGATTTGGTCTTACGGTATTGCAGTTAAGCTGTTAGACTGGGGCGAGGATGGTATAGCGACAACTGCTGAAACCGCTGCTCTACGAACATCATTTCGGCAAGAGGTTTCTGTTTGGCATAAGCTCGACCATCCTAATGTTACAAAGGTCCAATATTTTCTTCTGCTTCGACATGTTTACTTGTTGATATCGATCTTTTATTGAATGCATTGTTACAGTTTATCGGGGCCTCGATGGGAACTCAAATCTTAAGATTCCATCAAAAAATCCGTCAGCGGAAAGCCATGATCCCCTTCCTTCTAAAGCATGCTGTGTTGTTGTCGAGTATCTCCCCTGTGGCACACTGAAACAATACTTGATACGAAATAGGCGGAAGAAACTCGCTTTTAAGGTTGTGATCCAACTTGTTCTGGACCTCTCTAGAGGGTAAGAGGACGAATCTTTTCTTCGGTTTCGAGTGTATAAATAATATTTCTCTGCTGACGAGTATGCTTATTCTGAACCGCAGTCTTAGCTACCTACACTCGAGAAAGTTTGTGCATCGTGATGTCAAGACAGAGAACATGTTGCTAGATGCTCACAGAAATCTTAAAATTGCAGATTTCGGCATTGCTCGTGCCGAAGCTCAGAATCCACTGGACATGACTGATGAAACCGGTACCCCCCGCTACATGTCCCCGCAGGTATGAGTTATCGAAAACTCTTTTATGCCTCGCACGTTTACCCGTCCGCATACCTTATATTTTCATTTTGTCGGAATTGATTTAGGTTCTCGATGGTAAACCCTACAACAGAAGATGTGATGTCTACAGCTTTGGCATTTGCCTGTGGGAAATTTATTGCTGTGCCAGATCTCAGCTTCGCCGACGTATAGTCTGCAGTTGTCGGACAGGTTAGTTCGAGTAACATTGAAGAAAGTAACCTGTCCGAGTAACATTGAAGAAAGATTACTTTCTTTCCATTTTCAACCGTCGGATTCGATTATAATTTGCAAGCCTTGTTCTAGTAGAGTTCAAAGATTCTTATATGGTTCGAATAATTCTAAGAATACGAGTTACGGCGATCCATCCGTCCTAATTTCGGCATCCGGCTTTTGGTGTATGATGCTATTGTCTTGCTCATTTTGCATGTTTGCTATCCCATCTGCTCACATGTATCATTAAACGATCGAAACTATTTTACATCGGTGTATTCGGCAGTGACACATGATATATACTGACAATATAAAACATATACATCAAAAGTGAGCCTCAAGCATGGCAACAAGTAGTTTTTCTAACTAGCCAACAAAGCCAGGCACCAAACACCAGTAAAAGAAGGAAACCCAATATTTATACTTATCCAATGGAAAGAACGAGAAAGTAGGAATCAGCTAATTTTGTAGCAGAAGGGCTATTGACCTCCATTTATCTTATCCATCATCTTAGGGACTTCTTTCTACCAGTAAGTAAAATGGAAGCAGCAGTATATCACAAACATAAATCCATTAATATTCCTTTTCCTCTGGTGAAAGAAATATTCAAAGTTTTTACTGTATATGCTGCATTAGACAATATATGAGCACAAAGTTAGCAATGTGACAATAAAGCAGATTCGATGCCAAAAACAAACTAACAAGATCAATAGGTGTTAAATGAGGTCTGTATCCTCCCAAAATAATTAGTTACAGCAGTCAGCAGGCATATCATATCCACAAACATGAAGTTCATCAGCAGCAATTCCCAACAGTGCACGTGTAAAATCCAAAATGAAAATGCTTTAGATGATCAGCAATTGAAACTAAAATACAGAGCTAACTTGAAAGTTTTTAAAATCTAGACATTTGGATTTGTAAAATCTATCAATCTTTCAAGACTTTGTATCCCTATAACATGCTAAAAACCATTGCAAATCTGGCAGCACCAATGAAATCTGCATTCGAAAAAAACACTAAACAGAGCATAACTAAATCGTATATCTATAAGAAAGGAGGAATCTTTTCGGCAATGAAAAACTCATGTAGGGAAAAAAAATGGTTCAACAGTAGATACATGCAAGATCCATATCAAGTACTACCTACTTAGGGTTTAACAATTCTATCGCTATAGTTTGAGTCTCATGCTTCCCTTAGCTTTCTAGTAAGAGCTTCGCCATGAGTATACAAGTATGCGGGTCTAACCACAATACCAAATGACATAATGAAATAAGCATGATATATAACCAAAAATCAAATATACATATATTTATTGGCATAGCCATCAATACACGGAAGTGCCTACAAAAGTGCCTCAACACTGATACAAAAATGCATTCGCATTGATTCAAAAGTGCATTCACACTGATACTAAAGTGCCTTAGCATTGCAGATACATATACATACCTTAGACGATCGTTGTATGCAAGTAGGTCAGGTGTCTTTAACGTTTCCCGAGTAGCAACAAAAGCATAAATCTAATGGAATCTTACCTCATAAGGCTCATATGGTTATAACACATATAGTATTTTAAAGTCTTATGTCCTTAAGGCAAATCATATTCATTATTATCCCAGCATATCTAAGGCCCAAAGACCACTCAACACTGACATTACTAACCCACTCCTTGCGACTGTTCGGGGCTTTCACCCTAGTTAGCTAGTTAGCTCCTGAGGTGTCTCACGCACTAACAATGCCCCACTAAGGCAACCAAGATAACCTAGCTATGCTCTAGCATAGATGAACTCACTAAAGTGAGGTTATCCTCTCACTAGTTGTCATCTCGTTTGTTACTTAAGGACGCTTTAGTCACTCTGACTCATGATAAGTCTCTACGCGTTTCATGGTTCAACAATGGTTTCGGAGTTTGCTGATCACTTTCTGAAGCACTATCTTGCTCGATACCTGGTTCGGGTTCATTTCTGAGTAACGACACTTTATTTATTCTTATTGTACTTCCCTTTAATACCTCATGAACTGAAAGGGACGGCTTACCCCTATTGGGTTCGTGCTTTCTGCTATTACCGTATCTGAATTACTCATTGTACCTTTTGTCGATACATCCTCTACGACGATCCTCATCCTTAACAATCCGTATACATACTCCACTGAAGATATTTCAATGTATTACGCTTAGTATATTTATATCCGTTGTAATCTACTCCTACGAATGTTTCTAGGTGTGTTTAATCATTTATAACCCTCACGATCTAAGTTTTACTGTTACGGATTGTCCTTAGCTCTTATAGGCCTTAAACGGGTCAAATCTAACCATTTGAAGTGAGTAATATCGATACTCTAGGGTCAAATAGCGGTACCCCTATGAGTATCGGTACAAAAAATAAATTTTGTTGTGAAAATGGGGCCTCAGTATCAATACTGTCACCCTGAGTATTGATATTGCTCCTGCAGTATCGACACGACACTCCCCTTGGCAGTATCGATACTCCAGCCCAAAATCCCTAATTTTTGCCATAGTATCGATATTACTCATCCCAATATCGATACTCGAACCCTGAAATAGATATTTTAGGTTCAAGAAGTACTCAAAATTCATCCTAAAGGCCATAATTTGATTTTCAATCATGCATCAATGTTATAGGTAGTTATTTAGGGTCTTAAGGTGTCATAAAACATAACTAAACAAAAAATTCGTGATTTATAGCAATCAAAAGTGAAACCCTAAATACTCAACTACACAAATCTTAGCCATTTTTGTGATTTATGAAAACTTAAAACTCAAAAGGATTAGAAATACACTACCTTGATACTAGGATCTCGAAATGAAGCTCTTTTAGTTATCAAACACTCTCCTTTTTGACTTGTTGATTTTTCCACCATTTTTCCTTAAACCAAAAGTGAAGACAAAGATTCTTAGCATAAGATTGAAAGGAGGAAGATTATGGACGAATTTTGAAGCTTAGAGGAGCATGAAAGAACCTCAAACACTTACCTTGGATTTGCCCTAACCATGGAAGAGGAGGAAAAAAAATGAAGAAGAAGATATGAGAAAAATGAGAACCCTTATGTCTAAAACACACTTAAAAGCCAAGAATATCATCTTCTTTCTTTTAATGATCTAATTACACTTTTAGTCCTTCGCATTTTATCTCATATTTAAAAATTCCCTTTTTGTGCCTAATTGGGCCCAAAACCAACCCAATTATTAATCCCAATCAACTTAAACCATGAAATCTACAAGGTCTACCTATCTCTCGGGTAAATCCAAACTACTAGCCTGTAACCTGGGGTGCTATAAGTTGAGTAGTTAAATTGATTTTTTTAAACTTTAGTACCAAAATAGAAGTGAGAAGATAATTGAGTGACGAATAATATAATTTACCTATAAAATTGCAGTGTCATTAAGTTTTTAACGGCGATGTACTAAAATGAAACAAAAACTAAGCATAGGTATGGTTTTGAAAAATTGAAAGTTTAGGTAAAAAACGGAACAAAGCTGATAGTTTAAGTACTAAAATCGTAATTTACCCTAAAAATGAATCTATCGTTAATTCTCCAACATATATATCTATTTTTTTAATGAATGGATCGTATCTTTTTAATCGAATCATATGAAATTTGAGTTATAAGCTTTAACAATTATGGATTTCAGATATGAACTAAAAAATTAATACTATAAAACTAGAAGGAGAGAAAGTAAAATTGAAGGGCCAAAAGAACAATAAAGATTTGGGGAAGAAGATTTGGTATGCTTTTACTTTCTTCTTGCATGTGTTTGATGAATCTTAAGTTAAAGGCTTGAAATTATTAAGAGTTACGGGGCAGTCAAAAGAAGATTTAATATTTATTTTTAATGGGTGCTTTTTTATTATTTTAATTTCTCTCTTTTTCCTCTATTACTCAGCCATGTTGTAATGTTTGTTATCTATTTTTGTTGTTAAGGTATGGGTTTTTGGCTTACCCTTTGTCTTTCACAATGTGTCACTTTCTTTGACATATGTCATTGCTACATTGATAGATATAAATATGATTATCAAAATAATCTAAAATATAATATAAAATATGAATATCTAATCAAAGAGGTCGGTTGAAGTGGTAAGCAGCTTGATATCGCTTAAGTAATGTCTCAGTATCAAGTCATTGTGTATGCAAAAAAATACTCGCGGGAGACTCACTCATCAAAGCCAGGTGTGCGACTCGGGTTAGTCCATATTAATCAGGGCAAAGTCTTGGAACTGAAGGATAACAAAAAAATATGATTATCAATATTTAAGTTTCTTTTTTGCGTAATTTACCCTAAAAATGAACCTAAAAAAATAACAATGAATAAACAATAGTAAATAAGGAGAATTAAAATGGAAAAAATTTTAACAACCAGTTGGTCTGGTGGGATGAGACACTAGGTCTCTTAAGCAAGGCCAAGGGTTCGAATCATGGCATTTGCGAATGGAGTAAACTGGATTGAGAGGGTCGCCATCGCCTCTGCAATACCCGATCTGGATTAGTTGGCCAATAGATCAGATATCGGTGATTTAATTAAAAAAAGGGAAAATTCACTACTGATACATATATTAATTAGCCATATAAAATGAGACAAATAGAAAAAAAAATGTTAACATCAAATTTCTTCTTTCATCATGATTTTCTTGCCATCCATCGCTCAAAAATTAAAATGAAAAAAAAAATTAAGGCCGAGTTGTCAATGAAAGAATAGAAGATACCCTAAACAAGGGTCACTTGCTTTGCCCTTTAGATATCCCAATACTGCCAATATGGCCCATTTTTCTATTTTCCCTTTGATACAATTTATCACTTTACATGTCTCTTTGTAGTATTCAGTCTTTTACTTTTATTCCTATTGCCCCAAATGATGTCAAAAGAGTCCCACATGATAATAGGGAAAAACATTAATGACAGAACATTTGGAAGTGGAATTTAATAGAGATCGATGAAGGTAGGGCATGAACCAATTTATATTATTGGT